TTCCCCATGTCCCAAAATTATTGTCCAATTTGAGACTTTTAGTATAATTTAAACTAGAAATGAAAAGCCAAACTGAACAATAATTATGGGACGGAGGGAGTATTATTTTTTCTTTTCTTTCTTTTTTTTTTAAAAAAATACCCATTAACATCACCACCAAAATTCGTAATAATGAGCAGTCAAAATTGAATTAAGTATTCAACTTCTAACCACAATGTGTGTACCTAAAGTGATAATATGGCCTTAGTGAAAAGTTGTATACTCTTCAGGAGAGCAACAACCTTAATCGTAATCTATATATATATATATATATATATATATATATATAGTAAATTTGTGAAGTGAAACAATTAATGGATATCTAAGTATTCTCTCTATTCCAAATGATTGTCTAGTTTAAAATTTCAGATTCAGTACAATTTAAACTGAATAATATTTCAGAAAAGAATATGAATCAAACAATACTAATTAATAAATCACAACTACAGTCTGTCGAATAATACTGTATGTCAACGAATAAGGAAGCCTAGCTTTGATTCCACAGTCATCTACAATTGGTCCCAACCATTGATCTCAGTCTAAAGGTCGTCTTGTCATAAACTCGTAATGGTAACATATCAAACTTTTTTCCCTTACAAAATTATTTTTCTGTTTAAAACTTCACTTTTAATATAATTTATATTGAATATAAAATCGAAATTGATCAAAAATTTCGAGATGGAAGGAGTAAGTATAATTATTTGGTTTTAGAATTTAGCTTCCAATTCAATAGACTTATACCAATTTTCAAACAGATTAATAAAACTAATTTATTAACATTTTTTACCTTAAAATTTTTAAAATACTCTCACGAAGACATTAATAAATTTAGTGAACCAAGATTTTAATTTGTTATGGAAAATAGTTAAACCATGGTGACTCATTAATTCCAAACTTAAAACATCTCATTTGAATTCATGAAAAAAAAATTGTCTCATTTGAATTCATTCAATATAAGTATCATTTTGAAACGGTAGGAGTATTTTTTTACTCTTGAAAGTTGAAACATTTTGCAATGAGTTCTTTAAAAGTACTATTACTTTTTTTCGTCGCGAAATCATAATTTGTGTTATTGTCTGCTCCGTTTAACAGACAAGTTTAACATCTAGTAAAATAAAATTCACTCTAACACTAATGAATGTATTTCTCCCGACATCGTTGTGAAAGACTGCAAACAATCGGCTTATTGGACTTTCTACTTAGTAAAATCAATAGCTATTTACTCCCTCCATTTCAATTTGTAGGTCGTTTTAGGTTTGAAGAGATTTTTCAAAATGTAAGTCGTTTTACAAATTATAGGCAAATTAATGACTATTTTTTCAACTTTATCCTCAATAAATGATGCTAATCTATTTTCATTTAGTCTTGTTTATAATTCTAATGTAATTAATGAAAGATAAAAAAGATATTTAATGCATAAATTAATTATTAGATAATTATCTCATTAGTTTACGTGTCGAACGTAAAAAGACTTATATTTTGAAATGGAGGGAGTACCTGGCTAGCCAAAGCCCACAGGATTCCCTCTTGCTAGATCAATGTCCATATTTTTGACATATTAGATGAGCCGAAAAAGGGACATTCTTAATGGGCTCCCTTGATTCAGGTTACTGCCTCTGTAAGGCCTGTCTGATGCTGCTAAATTTAAGGTGGGTGTGAAAGTGAGTAATGGGTTTGAAAGCATTTAGTAATGCTTGGTTCGTGTCTTTTGAGATGGTGCGTTCATGATTCATCCAATAGTCCAAACTCCATCTTTTAACACATAATTGCCCCCTCTCCTCTCCACATTCCAGCTCTGATTTTTCATCTTCCCAAGCACCACGTCGGTTTAGTTTTTGAATTTATAATTATAAATTTTTTCAGAACGGTCATCTCGTCTATTTTCCGACAACGAAATGTTTCAGTTTTTTTTCTTTTTTCTTTTTTGTTTTTTTTTTTTAGGGTAAAAGTAGAATTATAATTGAATCCCATTTCAAAAAAAATTAGTAACCAAGCGTGTTAATTCATTCCCAGGATATCCCATTGCATTCCCCAGTTCAATGACTCCCATTTCAAACTATGATATCCTTAGGACATCCACAATGGTAAATTTATGACCGTTTATTACTTTTATTCAGGCCCACATGTCAGATTTTTTTTTATTTTATTTTGGATAGTCTCCGGTTTATATTCATAAATTCTATTTGTAGGTCCGGATCACTCTCTCTTTTCTGTTTTTGTGATTTATGAGTTTATGATTAAAGATACTCCTATGAACCCCCTAATACTCCCTCTTCCTACAAAACTTAATGTGAATTTATTTTTGGAATAAAAGAAGGAGTATAATTTTAGAGCAACAGATTTACTAAAATAGACATATAGCTAGTATAATTGTTCATTTATTATAAATAAAAAAATCAATTAACATTTTCATCTAGAGTTATTTCTGCATGTTACATAGTCCACGAGACTGAGATTATTCCCATCAGAGCCAAAGAAATTCTCCCCAAATCCTCCTTACCAGATTAATTGCGAGGGTTTTGATCCCTGATCCCTGATCTCCTAAGTTAGAGCCCAAAATTTAGACAAGTGATCAACCTGATGAGAAGTAGTAGACTAATAATCAAACCGAGAAATATATTGATGGAAAAATCATCAGATTATATAACGATAACTTTTTATAACACTACTACTTACTACACCAGTTTGGGACTACAACATTATCAATTACTCCCTCTGTCCCAAAATTATTATCCAATTTGAGATTTCAGTTTTAATATAATTTAAATTAGAAATGAAAACCCAAACTGGACAATAATTATGGGACGAAGGGAGTAGTAAATATTTTTTTTTTGTGTCAAAATACTTGCCTGGCGTGGATTTTCATTTTAAATATTGTATTAAAAATAAAAATTTACGCTAAACAATAATTTAAGACGAAGACAATGTATAAAATGGAATTTCGTATATGTCTAATCACCTAACTAAAAGTTAGTCTAGTCATAAGGTCACCCATGAAGCGTCAAAGCAGTCCAACCCGCAATGTTTATTCATGATTTCGTTTTCATCTCCGTTGTCACAGCAGGCCCATGTACTTTGTTTGATCAGCTCATTGTGTTTGGTACTGAAAAAACACAACCCTTATTCTCATTTATTCCCCCTACCCAAATGTTGAATGTTATACAGTTAGTCTGTACTCTTATTTTCACTATGAATTTCCTCTTTTATAATGAAGAGACCAAACCTCTTTTTATCCTTTACTTTCTTAATGTGGTTATAACTTATGAGTGCAAAACTAAAATGCTGTCCGTATAGTGACAACTACATCTAAAAGGTGTGGCAGAGTAATGACATTAACGTTTTGGCAATATCGGCCTTCTGATTAATGAGCATCATTGTGAAAATGATTGAAATTTAATAAGATGGGGTCCAATAAATTAAGATCCACTTTCCCGTAATATCGACGTTAATCAACAACGTGATCTATTCTTAGTTGCAAATTGAAACAATTATGTTACAGGAATTTAAATCCGTTATCGATTTTTTTTACCAAATTTTTTTGGATCAGAGCTCTGCTGTTATGTGCCAGCGATGCTCCGACATGGCTAGGGACTTGGACGCGGCTTGACACACTACTTAGATGTGACCAATAAATAGTTTGGTTTTTGTTTTTGTTTTTGTTTTTTTTTTTAAATTTTAATAATAATAACAAAAAAAACCCATGTATAAAGTGCAGAAAATGACTTAGCATAGTTCACAAAGCAAGCTTCTGGAGTCAAGATGCTCGGGGTTCCCCTCGCAATGGTTATGTATGTGAGTTACCCTTTAAAAAGAGAAACAATCATAAACGGAAGGAGAGAGATAGCCTTCAAATTTTCCATTAGAGGCGAGGAATTGTAAATGGCGAAATGGTATACTTTTTTTTTGTCTCAAAATGATTGCATTTCAATTTTTTAGTATAAATTGGACAATTATTTCATAATGGAGAAAGTAAAAATTTCTTATGATAAAGAGAGTAAAACGAAATTGTTCACTAATTAGATTCTTTTTATTTCAAAAACAATTATCTGATTTATTGTCGTATCTATATCTATATCTATATGGTTCATCAGAATGCACAATTACCTTACTAGATGCTCCAGATGGACTAACACACAGTTACCGTACTACCTTCAAACTGTTCAAAGATAAAATTAGGCTTTTAGAGTCTTCCAACTTTTGCATTTTGCATTTATTGGAAGCACAACAAAGGTAAGAGTAATAGAGTTTAGACTTCCTCCTACGCGACAGGGCAGGGAGACACCAACCAATTTTTCCAACTTGATAAAGAAATTCACGTGAAAGCTTATAGCAGTATACTACTCCCTCCATTTTAATAAGTGTCATTTTAATAAAATGAAGAAATTTTAAAATAAGTGTCGTTCTCACATTTCAATGCACTTTTTTGTCAAAAGTTTCTAAAATTATCCTCAAAAGAGTTGATGCTATTGGTGGACAATTTTATAATGGGATTGGTTGAGGATATTCAAGTAATTTTATTATCCTATTTAAGAGTTTCTTAAACTATGTGCAAAGTGTAGGACGACACTTATTTTCGAATGGAAGGAGTATCAATCAAAAAACAACAACATAATAATAATCAGACAGCATTGAAAGCAACAAAAACATCTCTCACTTTCTTTTTCTGTCTTCTTTCTCTTCTCATTGGCAGTTTTCTGTGTCAATTTTTCATTCACAATACAAAACAATGGGACAACCTAACCCCAATCATAATGAACAGCAACAACAACTACTATTGCTACAAATATTTGACGTATTTGCATCACAATTTAATCACCATCATTCTTGTAATTAATAAATTATTAACAAACACATAATAATTCATAAAAATTCCTCCCCGAAAAAAAAGAAGGTAAAATAAAATGAAAATAATAAACAAAAACGAAGAGTCTCGTGCGACTCCGGCAAGAGAGTCAACGGACTCAATGCTCTGAACAACCGTGTCTTGAGAATCCAAGCCGTCCTCGGCCCTTGTCGAATTCGAACATGAACCCTTGTTGCATTAAGTTACCGAGCAGCGAAAAGCCCGACGGCTGCGTGACCGGCTGCAATGCCAGGCATTTTACGTCTTCCTCTGTGTCAATAAAATAGTTCTGAGGCGGGGGCGATAGCCTCGCCCCGCCAACCAGCTTGAAACTCAGTGTTGGCAGGGTTAGATTCGACACGCGCGACACGTTTATGCAAAAATCAAACGTGGGACTAGGATCACCCGATCTAGGCAGCTTCACGCGCCGCTCAAACTCTTGCACCACTTTATCATAAGCCGGCTGCACGAGAAATGTCAATGTTGTCCCCGAGTCCAAAACTGTTCCCCCATTGCCAAACTCATCGATATCCCAAACCGAAGGGCTAATCGGTAATCTGGTGTCATCGACGTAAACGCTTTCGATTCCAATGTAATAAAATGTGGTAGACAATGTGTTGTTTATGATCGGGGTGTAGCTCTTCTTAACAGTGGGCCCCATCAAGCCGCCGCCGATTAAAAGATAGCTTGTCGGAGAGGGCGAAATTGTATAGTCCATCAAGCAATAGGAGAACTTGTTTCCGAAAGTCTTGCCCAATTGGGATGGAAACGAGATCGGTCCAAGACCAAGGCCCAGTACTCCCCGGGCGCCATTGAAACCGGGGCCCGTTAAGCTCGGCCCAGAGGTGTTGAACCCGCAACCGAAGGATAATTTCTTGAACCTCACTCCTTTCCCGGAGCTGGTATTAAACGATGCCGTTTCCCTGGAGTAAAACCCGGAAGTGAAGGACCCATCGGAATACGAATATTCGTACCGGCACGTGCTGTGCCGCCGGGTATGGTTGCAGGTCAGGTTTGCCGGGTGGGGCACGAAATCACAAGCCGGGTCATAACAATGGTATGGAGAAAATGTGGAAGAATGGCGGGCGAAGAGAGCGGAGTCCGGTGACCGGCGGGAGCAGTTCCGGCAGGCGGAGCACTCGACCCAGATGAGGTCGCTGCCGGTGTCAGCGACGAGGAGGAAAGGCTGAGGTGGAGTCCCGAGGGAGAGGGAAACGAAGTACTGACCGGTGCCGAAAGAAGCACCGGAGGTGAGCGGGAGTTGGGCGGCGCCGCCGCGGCCGTTTGACTTCCTGCGGCGGTGGAGGGAGGAATATAAGAAGTTCAGGCGGTGGGTATCGAAGGTTAAGGAAGAAGAAGGAGTGGGAGCGAATGGGTGGTTCTGATGGAGAAGTGGGAGTTTGAGAGAATCCGAGGATGAAGATGAAGATGAATAAGAAGAAGGAAGATGCAGAAGTAACGTTAAGAAGATGATGAAGAAGAGAGAGAATGGAGAAAGTTGTAGTACTGGAAACACTCTCATCTTCTTCTTTGTGAAGGGGAGAGAGAGAGAGAGAAAAGGAAGAAATTGAATGGAAGTAGTTGATATTGAATTTATATGAACAATATTGCAGCTGTACTTCGAACATGTAACTTAGAATAACTATTTTAAATAAATATTTGTCTATGTAAAATTGTACATATATGATACTCCCTCGTCCCATAATTATTGTTCAGTTTGAGTTTTCATTTCTAATTTAAATTGTACTAAAAGTGAAATTTCAAACTGAACAATAATTTTGAGACATGGGGAGTACTATATATGAAGATTTCTAGTCATAATTATTGTTTTTTTGTTTGTTTGTTTGTTTGGGTAAAAAACAGCATTATAGCTGGATCAAAGCTTGATCAGTAGCTCCAAACATATATAATTGGTTAAAGATCCATATAATTTTTTGGTATTTTACTCCTAGTTTAGATTTAAGATGAATAAACGCATTTGGAGGGATAAAACTTGCTGAGATATTAGTAACTGAGATATTTAAGATTACTTGCTGGGATCTTCCATACTTATTGATCTTTGGATTTTGTATTCAATCATTGGCTGGAAAAGAAGGTGAATGACCATGTAATGCAATTTATATTTCCGAGATAGTAGTATATCAAAGAGTATGGAATGGAATGGATCAAGGACACTTTATAAATCAAATGCTCAAAAATTAACATTGTCTTCATTTTGACCTCGTAATGTAAGTTTAACGTTCTTGACATTATTATGGAGTTTGACGATTTGGGCATTGTTTTTCTTTTTCGAGGATCAGTTTATTTTCTACCGTTAGCTATGGAAACTGAGATAAGGAAAGAGGAAGGAAGATGCCGCGTCTCTCTTTGTGTAGACGACTTGGGGTTGAGTCATCAATGTCCATGAGTCATGGGAGTGTTTTTCTACTGGTAATATTATTTTTGCATAGGAATTCGTGTTATTGTGTTTTGGGGGAGAAAGGACAGTGATATTGGAGGGGACAGTAATACCATGATTGAGAGAGTAATGAGAGTGTGAACTGGATCCAATGCAGTATCTCCTCCAAGAACACGACGAACTCCCTCACGCAGCATTTGTCAGATTTTGCTGTATTTTTTTGTGTACGGTTTTTTCCTTCTTTTACTAGATCTTCATGATGTATGATAAATGAAAATGATATCGATTAGGTCAGTAACAGTAGTAGTAATAATCACAATCCTGAATCCTCGGCTCCCAGCGTCCCTCAATCATATCCTACTTATTCCCACAAAAATAGTTCATATCGAATTTTCAAAGTATTAAAAATAGTACAAACCTTACAATTCAATGTGAATTAGTTTTTTGGGACGAAGTAGTATTATTTTAACTTTTTTTTTTGAAAGGGTGTATTATTTTTTGTAGTATGTAATAAGAATAATTATTATTATTCATTCCGTTTTAAAAAATTTCATATTCAGTGATAATTGAATTTTTTTTATGAAGGATATCATTTTTCCATTCAAAGCACCGTTCAATTTCCTGATATAATCATGGGCGACTTTTAGGGTTTTGATATTTTGATAATTTGATTTGATCATGTGTGAGTTTAAAAAAAGTCAATATTTGGTGATTACTTTGAATCCACGTACCTAACATGCAAAGAGTAGTTTATTAGTCAATGGTGCTTCTCATGGGGGTTGTGTTTCACTAATTATTTTTATATTTTATTTATAGATACAAAATTTCATATGATAAAATTTCAAATCATGCAAATTTTTATGGGGCGGATGAATCGTATGAGCGGTACATATAATGGTCTAAAAGATATACTGATTTTCACAATGATGAAAATTTTGATCCAAATAACTTCGATCATTGGACTAAATTATTCAGTCACCACATCAAAATATTACTCTCTTTGATCTATTAGACATGACTAATACGTACGGAACAATAACCAAACACCCCCTCCTAAAATTTGAGATTTGATCTAGTGTGTTTGTTAACTTTCACAGGGAAATGGGGATATCTGGTCAACAATTGCGATTACATGAACTGCATCGGGACAATTAATGTTGAGCTGGAGTTTAATGTAACTTAGTTCATTTTGTTAACATGGGTTATTGGTTAATTATACAATTTGACTTTTTGATATTAATAACGATAATGTTCGCTAGAGCAATCTGACTTGGTGCATTTTTTGGTACTTAATATAAGATGTCACTCTCACATTATTTTCCAACTGTTGCCTATGATACGCATAATCATCAATTACATATACAATGTATGCCAATCTCGTCATAAGGTACGAACTAAATAAGAGTAAGAAAGTATTTTGTTTTAGATTGAGTGGTTCAGTTCATCAAATGATTTTTATTTGTTTCGAAACAACAATAGGAGAGACAAATGGAACAAACATTACATGATCAGAAGGTTAACGAGCATGTTCATAATGCAAACGTAATGAGAAGAGATCAGAAATCTGGAAGAGTAATAAGCCAATAATTATAGGCCAAAAAAAAAAAAAAACACAAATGAAAATGGAAACGAACAAATCGGAAGATTTTGTTAAGCAGCACGTGCAAAACCCAATTGAGGTGCCCTTAATTGCAATCTTAAAAATCCAAAGATCATGATATAGTTGTGGTAGGCGTACAGTAGTAGAAAGAAGTTGTGATTTGTGAATAAATAAGTGGATTAAACTGCAGATCATCTGGCATGGGTTCCCCTTAAAAGGTGCATTTGATTAGGGAATAAAGTCAATTTGGCTCGTGCATGTCTTTCTAAAGGGGCATTCCTTTTCAACTCAATTATTTGCAATTTTTTTTTCTCTTTTTAGGATTAATTTCAAGAGGCCAAAAAAACATTTTTATTTTATTTTTATTCTTCCCCGCTTCGGCTAATCAATCCATCAATAATACAATGCCTGATGTGGAACTCCAATATTTATTTCTAATTTTTTTTTCTTAATAAAAGAGAGAAACGTCTAAAATAATAACGTAATCTTATTTTTAATTTCCAATATTTCGTAGTGATGACAGGTAGATGGAAAACAGTGACGGATACTCCAAAATATAATGCGATAATAATTATCTGAAAGACAAGAAATATTGGTCCATCTCCTCTCCCAACAATACACATACTGTATTTACCGGCCCTCCTTCATTCAATTAACAGTTTCAACAAATTTGACGATATTTCTTTTTCAACATAATATTTTTTTTTTTTTTTAAAAAAAACTTAATGAGGGATTTCGATCAAGAGTAGACGTAAAGGAAATGAAAGACAGTTTTTGGGACCTCACGTTGTTTTTTTCCGCCTCTCAATTTCAATAACATTTTTCTAAAGTACAAGGTAGTTTTAATTTTTAAGCAATGAAATATAGAGAAAGATTTAGCGTTGTAAGGGAATGATCCAATTCGGGCTATTACTTGGCATTTTTGTTTAATAGTAAAATTAAAAATTATTGTAATAATGTTTGGATCATCAATTGAACCATTGATTTGACGGTACCTACAAAATTTTCTGAAATATAATTGAAAGTTTTTCGATCTGGAATTGATTTTTGGTTTCCATTCATAAAAGGGCAGGGGTGTAGAGCTTGGGACACATCAATGAACATGGCGGAAAAGGGAGCACATGTGAGGAAAAGAGACATTGCAACGTTTTGTCTGATAATAACAGTTATTCAATTAAGGGAGTCGATCGATCAGACCATTAATAGTTATTACTGAGATATTCTTTGTCTTATTTCAGATCAACCTCATACACTGCTGATTGACTCTACTATATTTTTGTAGTATTATTGTGCTACAAAACTTTTTTTTTAATTTTATTTTTTTAGGCTTACTGAATATCAATAATCATCTTGAAAATGGAAAAAGAAAATTCCTTCTTGAAGAAATTTTTACAATGTCATCATTTGGAAGCCAATAATTATTCATCCCTGGCTCCGATCTCACTCAATCCAGCTAGTAGCATCCCTCAATTTGTAAGGTGGAGTTTGGTGTGTACTCCTCCAGTCTCACCAAGATTATTATCCAGTTCAAATTTTCATTTTTAGTTCATACTATACTAAAAGTAAAAATCTAAATCGGACAATAATTTTGGGATGGAGGAGTAGTATCATTTGTTTCCTTAGTCGAAAACATGACATGACTCTAATTTGAATTAATTAAAACAGTAATTTTGAATTACATGGTATGTAATATATTAAAAAAAATATAAAATACATGGTTAATTAATTACTTTAGGACATAGGATCTGATTTAAAAAAAAAAAAAAATTACTACTGAATCCTGGATGTTGCACGCTAAAATTGTTGAAAAATTTTCTTTAAAAAATGGATGCTTCCCGACGTCATTGAATACATATCTGCGCCAGATTAAATTGAGTTCTTTTTGCTTTTTATTTCGTTTCGGATGATGTAAAATTTTTGAGAACAATCTTTATTTTCGTCCATGAGTTTCTTGATAAGAATTTTGACTCAGACATGGATGATCTGAACACAAGTGAAGAAGCCATGAGTTCAAATTAATAATTCTGATTTTAGAGAATATAGATAAGAACTAAGAGGTAGAATTACGTAACGGTCGTCATAAACCTTCAGTACTCGTGACGTACAAAAATTAAAAACTGCATAAAACTTATTACAAAAGCAAAGATATTGTCATCCTTCATCAAACGAAAAAAAAGGTGGGGAGAACACAAAAACTCTGTTCCTGCAGGCTGCAAACGCCGTCATAAACCTTTTTGTCAGCTACCTCGTCGGGTAGGTACGAGACTACAGCGTTGATGATTTGATATCTGTTGTTCTTCTCCCAACAGCAGTTAATGCTTTGCCAAAGTTATCACCTTTCAATTGAAGATTCTCGTGATCTCAGAAGCTTTCAGCTACGCAAGTGAAAAACAATTTACTCAAAACGTACCACTGAAGATTTATGTGCCGCCATAACGGGTTGAGAAGCCCTTTCGTACGTACACTAATCAATGTGAGCCTTTTAGTGTTTCCATTCCGGAAACGGAAACTTTCCAACTATGAAAGATAAAGCTGAGCTCAAGATGAACTCAATTTAGCCTGTCGAGTCATTCCAGTTTAATTTGCTGATGAACCCGACTCCCAAACCGAAAATAATTGCATGTATGTACAGTTTGAATTAACTGAAAAATAAACAAAAAGAAAAGATGGGAGAATAGACTTAGATATCATTAACATTAGTACAAACATTATAAAAAGTTGATACATCATCTGAGAAGATCAGAAATATCGTGGTACATAGCTATATACAAAAATGAACCGGTTCACAACATCACTGCTAAAAAGACAAGTTTCACACGAGAAAACCCCAAACAAACTGATCTACTTGGGTACATCATTGCTGGCAAACAAGCATGCTATAAGAGAGTGCTACATATCCCAGATGTCGGCAATGCTTTCCAACAAGGCCGTCAAAGCAAAGACTGCAACATATCAAATCTATCTGGCCCGTGATGAAGGCTTAAATCCTCCAACGAGCAACTTTGACGCCACTGCAGCATTTATTTTCCTCCTCTTTGATTGTAGTTCCAAATTTGTCTTGGAAGAAGACGACGCATAAGGACCAGAGAAGATTGAAGCAGATTGTATAAGTGCTCTTTTATCCTTTCTGTTTCTTTCAAACTTCTGAGCAAATTTCACCCGTTTGGCAGCAGCGACATCTTCTTCAGAGGCCGGAAGCAAACGTATACCAAAACCCATCTTCCTCGAAGCTGCCTCTTCTTCAGCTACTCTTTTCTTTTGACTCTGCGAATATTCGAAATTTTAGAAAAAAGATAAATAAACAATAATGAAGGAAAACATAATAGGAAAATGAAAGTTATACCCTAAGTTTAGCACGTAAAGCTTTGTTTAACACATAATCATCTGAATGCCTGGAATCTGATAGCCTTTGAAGTCGCACTAGTGCGGGTTCAGCTTCCTTTTTCTTCTTTATATCCTCTTCCTGATGCTCGAGACGGTAAAATGGATCTGATAACTTGCTTCTTTCTGAATGAAAACCGACAAAAAAGAAAAGGATTAAAAAATGTAGCAGAGAATTTTAGGCATACTTTCGAAGCACTTTCCTGTCCGCATAGAAATGACCACATTCATAAGGAAAGAATAAGAAGCAATGACTAAACTGTTTGTTGTTCGTTATGGACACTCAGTGGGTAAATAAACCAACATTATTCAATCTGATCAGTTCAACAATATGCATCTTCATGGCTATGGATGCAAAGAGATGAAGTTCGCCAACTGTTGAAAACATAAAAGCACATATATTCTGATACAAAATTCTGCACAAACAGGGTTTCAGCATATGGGTATTTGTGGTTCAATACATGTTTACCTTCATCTACTGGGAGAAGCAGGGTTTCAGCATCTTCCTCATCAAACTCCTCCACCTTCTTCCGGGCTCCACTGATAATAACATATTGACAGTTCTGTGGATCTGTTTGAATGACAATCTCTTGTTTGCAGCAGGCAGATTTCATTGTAAAGCTCCATATCTAACAAAAAGAACAAGGACAACACTGTCAGTATAGGCAAGTGATTCAGAATTTTAATTCCAGTGGTTTGACAACCAAGCTTACTTTTGTAGAATAATAATTTCCAACTTGCTTTTTCTCTGCGTTGAATCGAACACCCTTTGCAATCATAGATTCACATCCTCCACACCAGATGTTGTATGGCATCTCGAATCTGGAAAAATAATAGAAATAACAAGACTTACCATCAAGAAGTTAACAAGAAAAGAACAAAATTTTACAATAGCATTCTGAAAACTCAATTCTCCTTTTTTCGGCATTCTTCTTTGTACCTATGACCAGAAAAAGATTTCACATAAAAGATTAGTATCAGTTTGCTCATCATGAAAGATTCTCAAAAGTGATACAATCTTAAACTGTCTAAACAAAAAAAATGAAAAGGTTTCCACTTGGTTGAAAGGCTTAAAACCAGCACTCCAAATAGCTCACACTATATCTCATAGTTTCATCCCTCTAACTCCTCTCAGCTTCATTAAAAAGGTAATATTGGCATAATGTAGAGGAGGTACATAAAATAATGGAGATCAAGTTAGAAAAAGAAAAAAAAATGACAAAGCATTACTACCTTATAATCAAAATACCCTGGTCCAACTTCCGTGCTCGCTTTCTCAAAGCATGTTGACCATGAAACTTGTTCAAGCCCCCCTGAATAAAGCAGCAGTCGAAATAATAGTGAGAAAACAAGAACGGACAAAACATAACGTTATCAGTGAGCAGTCACACATATGGAATCTATTAAAATTCAGGTTGCATACCTTCTTGGGGCTCCATTCTGGTGGATAGTAAAAGTTGTCTGCTCTTGCAGCTGCAAGGGAAGACTGCAGAAACCAAATAAAAATGTTCGGTACATCTTAAAGACCCAGAACTCAAAACTACAAACACAAAGATATCAATTATACATATCGTGCATCAACTTTACAATTATCAAACAAAGATTTTCCCTTTTTATAAGGGGGGAAAAAAATCAAGTTCACCTTCACCATGACACTCGTAACATATATCAACTGCCCAAATATACTACACTCAACCAGACCACTGATTTCCGCAAAAGATACACATTCACTGGTACGGTAATTCAATCTTGAGCATATTCTTGCAAGGATCATCTAGACTATGTTCAGCCTTAGAGGGATGTAAATACGCTCAATGAGGGGAAAAACCCTTTTCTCAATTCAAAATCTAAAACCTAATGTCTCTCAATCCACCTTAAACCTAAGCAACCTAGAACCGAATCAAGCTCCACATTCTAATAAACATTTAACTTGCATTCTTCAGCTAAAACAAATTCTTTCAAGCAAAAAGAACATCATATCTACTAAAATATTTCCTTCAAAGAATTTGATTTTAAAAATGATAATCCTACTCCAAAAACCAAAATAACAATGAAAAAATTCCCCATATCCAAATACAGCAAAACAACAGAATCGCACAACCATTTAAAACGAATAATAGCCTTCAGCGGATATTGATTCGATCCGAAAAGTAATTCCATGGTCATAATTAGATAAAATCGGCCAGAGATCGCATCACACCGTCGCTCTCAAAAACCCTAACTAGTTATGGAGAATAGCGACCGTGGAATCAATAACGAAAACACATCAAGGAGCATAAAAGTTCATCAATTTGATAGAGCTTACCATGATTAACGATTCGATTCAAGAATCGATGGAGGAAGTCAGTTTTTGGTCTCCTCTGTTCCCTTTTGACAAGCAAATTTTACGATTGATCAGAATGAAAAAAGATTCTCGCTTTGTTCGCGAAAAGAAGATCTATACGACACCGTCCGTTTAATGGCGGCAACGACGAAGGGAAGAGATTCCCAAAACCCAGTTGGAAAGTGAGAAATCGCGAATTAGTCCCCAATATTTTTATTCGTAACGATTGTATCCCTATATGTTCCACCGTAGTTAATTTAGTCCCCAAAGTCTACTTCTGGTTCGATTTTAATCCTTTGACCTTAAATTCGTAGTTACCGAACCGGTCAACAAACTAGAACCGAGTCAAACCACTTGTTTAGACGACTTTAGCCTCCCTCAAAATTTGATTCAAAAGTTTAAAATCATGATTGACGAGGGAGGGACCTGAGGGAGGACGGGTTATTGGCTATTTGTCTTATTGCAAAAATGTCATCACATTTTTATTTTGTTTCCAAGAAAATAAAATTAAAAATCATATTTCCAATGGGTGGAAATGTCAATTCAGACTGAGTTTAAGCAGGGTCGGCTTAACCATAAGGCCACTAAAGTTAGGGCTTTAGGCGCCGCCTTTAGAAGGGCCCCACAAATTGATAATAATGTATTATGTAAATTTATGAAATAATTTTAAAATTAGTTAAAGTAAGCAAAATTGTTTATAAAAATATGAAATAAATTGGATATTTTGAAAAGATTAATTACAAAATTTTAATTTGAACAGTATATTCATGAATTTGTATCCAAAAAAAGTTAAACAATAATTTTATACGATAACAGTTAATAAATTTTTTTTTATTCATAATTTTTAAAGGGTCTCAAATTCTTATCCCGCTTTAGACCCCGCAAACCTTGAGCCGGCCCTGAGTTTAAGAGAGAAAGTGCTTTTTTTTTTTTTTTTTCCTCTTTCACTTCTTCTCAACAACATAATTTCTTCTTTTGGCATATGTTCTTTTGATAAATAAGGTTCATGATTTATTTTTGTGGCTGGGATATATCTTTATTTTTAAACTCTTATATCCTTTCGCTGATTGATTTTATGATCTTATAAATTGCCATTTGGTAAACTTCTGAATCCATTTAGTAAGAGTTCTTATTGGTGAACGGGTGCAACAAATTTAATGGGTGAAGTTAACCTATGGCTTTCTAGAAAAAGGTAAAAAAGAAAAAAGTGACCTTTGGCGTATCTCTTAGCTAGTTAAGATGGAATATCTTCTAAACACAAATCATTATACGCTATTGTCAAATCAAGATAGCAAAACTCGATAGTTTTAGTAGGTGTCATGGGACCTATCTTTTTTCTTAAACATCCTTGTCTCCAAAAATTTTAGTCCTTTTTAACATAATGCTAAATGCACCTCACTTTTTATCACTTTAATGGTTGCGTCTTTACTAGTTATTAATTAGACCCTGAAACTAATCCAACATACATTAAGGAGAACAAAAGAAATCCTTTACCATTTCCTTTTGGTGATGATTTGTATTGACAATACTTGCAAATGATAGCCTTCACTTTCCCAAACAGTGCAAAGATTGCTTGGTTGAAAGAAAACATGAATAGCATATTCCCCACATCCCACTTCCCACTCTGTTGTATAGTGGGTGCAAATAGAAAATGAGATTTGTTGTCTTAAATTTATATGTGCGATCTTGTTCCATTAGTCATAAGACTATATAGTTTCATGTAGATTAAACTTATTTAGTACTAAATAATTTGAGGTTTAACTATACCAATACATTTAAGCTGAATCTGCTTAATTATACTACAATTAGCTTCATAACAAATCCCCTTTCCCCAAAATTAAGTGCGATTACTCAATCTAATGAGCAGTTGTGGATCCAGCATAATTTTCTTGAGACCAACAACGCATCCACAATCTTTGAACAGAAGTTGACGTTATTGTTATTCTAATGGGAAAACCGTCAGTTTGATGAAAACAATGAGAGACGAACAAAGTGTGTAAAGAGGATTTTTTTTTTTTTTTTTTTTTTTTTTTTGCAAATAATATCTTAGTATACTCCTAGTTTGACAATCCACATAATGACTTCATGTATTCCTTGAAATCTAAGGAACATTTATTGGGAATAGGGTTTTGCCGCCCCTCAATGTCCCCTATCACATTCACACACCACACACACACACACTTAACAACATTAAATTTATCAAAAATACGAAAAACTTAGTCACAAGAATCACAAGTCTCACATGTAAGCTAGCTAATAGAAGAGCACCTCTGGCTTCCTCTCCATTTTTTTTTTCAACTTCTCTTCCATAAGCAATATTAAAGATTTGCCTTTTAATTTTTCCCATTAAGATTCGAGCTGCCAAGTGCCAAACCTGCAAAAGTATAAATCTCAATTTGCTAAAACCCCTTTCTTCTCCTTCTTAATAGCCAATTTCATTTGCTCCATGCTTCCTCTTCACACCTTTCTTCTTCTTCACCTCTTCCAAAATCATGAAGCTTTCTCATGTATTCTTATATGTCCTCCTTGTCCTTAGCTTTTCAATCATCTTATTATGTTACCATGAGTTTTATAATAGCTTCAACGAAATCAATGAGTTGGACAATATTACAAGAAGAAGATCATCGTCTTCATCATCTTCATCAACTCCTCGCCATCTACATCAAGCTGGTTTACTCCACAGGAAGGCATTGGCAAGCAACAAATTTGATTTCGCCCCATTTCTTAAAAACCACCGTCATCGCAAGCGGAAGCATCCGGTGCCGGCCGCCGGAGGGAACGAGATCGATCCTAGGTACGGTGTCGAAAAGCGCCTTGTTCCGACTGGTCCAAACCCTTTGCACCATTGATTAGAGGTTCATTTTTTCAGAAGCATTATTTGTTTCATGAAGATTAGTTTAGGTTTTTCATATTCATCGTTATAGAACTATAGGGTTTGAAGATGTAAATGTACGAGAGAATATAGAGTTTTATTTTATTTTTTATTATTATTATTACTATTGACTTATATATATTATAATAGACTAATACTAATAAAGTGCTTTATAATGGAACACCATCTATATTACATGCCCGATTGAACTTTTTTCGCTTTACCTCTCCTTTTTTTTTTTCCATTCATTTTTTTTTCTTTTTCCTTTTTGGTTAGAAGGAAATGAATTTGGAAGAAACATGAGTGGCTGTAACGGCACGGCACACTTAATTAGCTAACTCCAATTTTGATCATTTTTAATCAATGGAGTTGGTTGGTGGTGTAGCCTTTAATTTCTTGAAGAATTGTAATAAGGAATGTGCAATGCACGTGATGATCTGGCTGCTATATGTGTTTGCCAATCCAGATTTCCCGCCGGAATACATACAAAGTTTACGTTTTCACATCTTGTTGAATTCCGACATCTAGACAAGTTTCTCTCATTTCTTTTTTCCTTTCTGTTTATTAGATTGCTTTCTCAATTATGATAAGCAAGTTAGTGCTTAATGGCGTACGCCAAATAATCGTTGATTGAATTCGAATATAGCCTAGGGATCAAGTTACATATATAATTCACATACTACATGTTGTCGATCCAATGATTACGAATTTGTTTTGACAACCTTATCTTAAGTCCGATTTACATTATCCGGTTAGTTTAAACCTAATACACGATCGTTTACAACTTGTTATGGTTCTTTTTAACAAAAAATCACCTTACTTTCAGATGATAAACTGAATTACCCTACTTTGCTTAAAAAATTGTTCAAATAATTAAGATCATGGATTAGAGATTTCAGTTTCTTAGTTTTATCACACCATTTAATAGCATCGTTTACGTAGAAACTCAATGATTTAAAATTGAAGTGGGGGAAATGATTCAGTGCAATAGATTGGAATTATGGTGAATCTATAAAGTTGGAATGAAGAAATAGAGCAAAACACTCCAATTTGGCTCCAAAAAAGGGAGTTTTGTAATATATTGGGTTGACGGTGAGATGGAGCCCGCAGAGTAGAATAACACTAACAAGTGGCAGGTGATTAATTAGGGATCAAGTTAAAAATCTCATCTAATCATTAACATTTTAAAATAATCTGTTGATTTAAGCGTTGTAACATCCTTCAAATTTTTTGTTAATTTATTGTTGGGGTAGGATTTTCAAGCACCTTTTTCTTCCCCTTTGTCATGCGCATAACGAGAGAGATGGATCGATCATAGCTTTTTTTAGTAGCTTCCTTTTTGGCTTTTTGTTGATTATGGCTGAAGGATTTGAATATATAGAGTTGATGAATATCATTGTCGGTTGTTTTGTAATAGGAGGTCCAGAATTTCAGTGTAGCTTATGAAGTGTTGACTGATCAACAGTGCAGTCACACTTTTTTTTTTTTTTTTAAAAAAAAAAGATTTCACAAAACCACCTTCTTTGGATGTGGGATTAAATGTCTCCAGAAATGTTCTTGTTTGCTTATGCCACACTTCAATTAATTTATTGAACCATTGAATGAGAGGGTACGTAGCAGCTAGCTGGCTAATTTCACAATAGTCACGGAAGTAATGTTTTCACTTTTCCAATGTTTGGTGCTGATCAAGCCGATAAACTTTTGTTTTTCAAGGTACTCAATTTTATGCCTATAACAAAAGAAGAAAATAAATCGTTTTTTTTTTTTTTTTTATAAAAAAACTCAACTGATATGCGTGTGTGTGTGTGTTTTCTTATCAATTCTTATTTACGGAAGGGATTTGTATACGGGAATTGAGATGGATAGTAAGGATAAATTAGCCGTATGTTAGATGACATTACCACAATTACTTTTGACGAATAGAGTACATTGCAATTAAAAGGAGCGAGATACACAATGAGGATAAAGTTTGAAAAATTAGTGAAAGTATTGTGTTAAAAACAACCTTTTACTGGTCTAGAATCTACAGAATAATTGTGCCATTTTACATCCTTTAAATCCAAAGCATGCATGCAACCCTAGGCTATAGATACCGATCATTCTCATGTACCTTTTGTTTGTCTGTTTCATACGTACCCACGTACGTATTCTAATTACCCATAATTCATATATGTCTCCATCATGAGTAATGATCCATCCGAATATACTGTTTTTTCTTTTGATCGACCAAATTAGGTATTGTAATGTGGATATGTATGTTTCCGTCCTAAAATTATTGTTTACTTTGAATTTTCACTTTTAATATAATTTGAACTGAAAATAAAATCTAAACTGAATAATCATTTGAGGATAAATAGAACATATAATTATATATGTAGGTGCTTACCAGATCAGTATTTGGGTACACCAAAAAAAGTGAGGTGGTGGTGCGCACGCTTTCTTTCTCGTTGAACAATACTATTCAGTTCTGAAATTTATACAAGTCAACGGGGAAATTGTGTGGTCGATCCGGGCATGCTAAATTAGAGTGACGATATTCCATTTTGGAATGATTGTCAATCCCTATCATTTTGTAAATATATTATATGCGTTTACTAGATATTATATGGCATAAGAAAACCTTGCTGGCTTCTCATTTTATTTTTAACAAAGAAGATATCTTTGTACATGTAACACGCACTCATTTTTATGTTTTCTTTTGTACATTTTAAAATGGAGTTTTACAACAAAAATGATGCGTTAAGAATTTGGGAGAAGGAAAATAGAGTTCAGATCAGATAAGGGATTGAGATTTAAAACCCTAAATAGGGGGTGAGGAATTGCATATTGGAGAAGAAGAACTTAGGAAGTGACAGAATGCAGATTAATTCATTTCTTTTCATAACTCCCATTATGGAATGTGCTATGCTATTTAATCTTGGAAGGGCTAATAAAAATAATTGACAACTAGTCCTCACCCCTCAATATTATATTTATTGCTTCTATGTTCTGAAATTATTGTCCAGTTTGTGATTTTTATTTTTAATATAATCTGAATTAAAAGTAAAAATATAAACCAGACAGTGGGAAAGAGAGGGAGTATTACATAAGTGTTAATGTAATTAGTATGTTCCTAACAAAAAAACTCTTATTGCCTCATAAATAAAATCCAAAAGAAAACAAAGCTGATTGCGAGATTCCTCTGTCCAACCTTCATTTTTTTTTTGTTTGGTTGGTCTCACCTTCCTCCACCTGCCATGTCCGACTAAGTTTTCTTACAGTAAATAGGAGGTAGTACTCTTCAGTTGGAAAAAGGATAAAGAAAGACTTGATTAGTTTTATGAATATTTTTTGGAGTCAATAATTGACACTGCACTTTCCATATAAATTCATTAAACATTTTCCGTTCTTGAATATTCGTTTTCTATGAAAGTCCATTAGAGTAAATTTAGAGTTATATATGAGAATTCTTTAAGACAAAAGTCCACTAACAAAATCGTATAATTCAAATAAATTGTTGGTGCTAGGCATGTCTATAATCAATGTCGTCGCCTAATATACAAGAGTCAAACTACAGAATTTTATTTATTTATTTATTTTTTGTACTCATAGAAGTTATGTCTCGAGTTAAAAACATTCTTCTCTTGTATCACTCTTCTTTTCCTTTTTCTTTTTTCTTTTTTTTTTTTTAAAAAATTTATGATAATGTTTAGGAGACCATATGTATGCCAACAACCGGTACATGCATAGACCAAAATTTTACACCTTCAAATAAATAAGTCTCTGAATCTGGTGCATATTCCTGAAATTTTTGTTGTCATTAACACTAAATTATCTGTCACAAAAATATTTTTTCGGTTGGTGTGTTTAAATCTCTACTTGTTCAAAAATAACATATTTTACGTGCTCAAATGTGTTGTATACCTAATCATGAAAGGATCATATATTTTCTAGAACCATATATGTCAGCTCTGACAAATTCATACGATCGATTAAACAAGTTACATTATTAATTGAATCCCCCAAAAAACTAATTTTATAGAAACTTCAAACTTAAAATTGAAACCATCTCTTTCTTACTTGCGCAAGCATTACAACAATCCAACTGCTGCTACCCACTGTATAAGCTCTAGCTTTACTATACATTATGTAAGGCCATACATCTAAGTCCACACTATTCATGACATTCTAATTTCCTCTCGAAATTTTTTCTTCTTAATTTCATCCTGTAAAGAACAAAAGGAAGGGAAAAAAAAAGAAAAAGAAAAGCAAAATGGTCCGCCCATTTCCAGTTGATCATCTTGTTCAAAACTTTTGCTCTCTTCCATTGGCAATTTTAGGGGTGTTCGTTTCAATATCAGTTGCCCTAGCATTTTGTGCTAGCCATTCCAAGCAATATTATCTGAGAAAACACTCAAAAAATGATACTATTACTACTCAACACGGTCAAAAAATCGCAGCTCCATCTTCATTAATCGTGCTCTCGAAGAGGATCATCAGAAGCGCGGGCGCCGGCGACAAGTCTAACTACAAATTTTCCGGAGGAGAGTCCAAGGATGATGTTCATCAACAAATGATAATTTCCGGTAACCCAAATAGTGAAGAAGAATTTGGAGAAGGTGGGTTGTGGCAAAAATCCATCTTAATGGGCGAGAGATGCCAGCCTCCACAATTTTCAGGTGTACTTTTTTATGATTCATTTGGAAATAGAATCTCTGAGCTTCCCAGATCACCTAGATCCTTAAATCATGTCCAAAATCATTCTTCTTGAATGCAAGAACAATATCATGGGATGTAGAATTCTGTTTCGATCTCATGTACAAACTCTTATGTGCCCAAATTGAAAAGGGTGGAAATAAATTGTTGTACTTGTATGTAATTTGATGAAACATATATTAGTCTTACTTTTGATTTTAACTCCAAGGGCTTACCTGAACTGCTCCATTACAACTCCAATTGTATTCGTATTTTAGTTTTTGTGAAGTATGAGAGGTTTCAAATTAGCAGCATCTAACTACTTTGTTTAGAGAAAATTTTTCATGAACCAAAAAAAACCATTTTACTCTTTACTATAGATCCTCAAAAGTGACATTTGATACAAACACAACGAACTAGATCTTGATACTAGATATTGTAGTCATCATAAATTTTGGAATGCAACTGTGATTAGAATGCTTGTTAGAAACAAAATTCTTTTGGACGAGACTTATGATTTCTCGAACTTAGATTTCAGCCTCTCTCATTGTATCAAAAAAAATAAAAATAAAAATAATGAAAGATAAAGTAAATTTATTGTCGCAAGATAGGTCAAATAGTCCGCCACAAAGTTCGCCTCCCTACATTCAAAGCGGAGCTCTACATCCCACTGCCTATTTAACATCTCTTTAATAGCACGAACTAAAGTGCTCTCTTTGTTTCGAATTAAATGTCGTTTTAGCAAAATGGAAAAATTTCAAAATAAGTGTCGTTCTCACATTTCAATGCACTTTTTGTCCAAAGTTTCTAAAATTACCCTTGAAAGAATTAATATTATTGGTGGATATTTTTTTAATGGAGTTGGTTGAAGATATTCAAGTAATTTTATTACCCTATTTAAGAGTTTCTTAAACTATGTGCAAAGTGTAGAATGACACTTATTTTGGAATGGAAGGAGTACCATTCGGCCCTAATGTTTCAGCTGGACTTGTTAGCATCTTGACTATACAGCTGCTGTCTACATCAGCCATCAATCGCCGTTCCCCCATCTCCCAAGCCAACTGAAGGCCAAAAAAAAAAACTCCATAATTCAGTTCCTGTAATTGTACAGTACTAATATAAACCCTCCTAGCCAAACTCCTTGGTCATTCCGTATCACCGGCTAGATGACCCACCAGATGTTGCGAAGCCATAGCTGACACACGAGGTCGTAAGCGTTTTGTATACACGTAATGTTGTAATGATGCATTTTTAGACTTCGGTCTCCTTTTGCAAATATGCAAAAAAAAAGAGAGTAAATTTAAAAAGGAATACAGAAGAGTACAGAAAGTTTTTTTTTTTCTTTTGCATATTTGCAGGGTGTCTACGGTCGACAACTGAGAGTACAGAAAGTTGAAACAAGAATCGATAAATGGGCCAACTTCCACGGGACAAAAAAAATGCAAAGTTTACCTCAATGAATTGGGCCTATTTTACTCATCATACGATCCGTCTCCCGCCTTAAACGAACCAAACAAAGCCTCATTTCTCAGAAACCAAATTTTTGCCAAACTACAAAATCCAATCTTTTGCAGCTCACACAACTCCGTAATCTGTATTACCGAGCAAAATGGCTTTGTTGACTGTTCCATTTCTGTCACCGTCTCCGGCATTGTCATTTTCAGCTTCCGGCTTCAGCTCTCCGTATTCCCATCCTTTTCCTGGGATTCTCTTGTTTACTTCAAAGAGAATTAGGAGACCAATTGCGAAGAATAATGTTGCTCCGATTATGGCTTCTGCTGATGCTGCTCAGAGTGACAGACCCACAAAATTAGTCACGTTTTTGGGCAAAGGAGGTTCCGGCAAAACCACCTCTGCCATCTTTGCTGCTCAGGTATATAACCTTTTTCAGCCGGGTCTTCATGTTGAAGCTTTACTGTTTGCTGGGATCTTTTAAATTTCTGTGATTGTTAATATTAAAATGCACCCTTCAAATTGGCAATTGGTAATTAGGTGCTGATGAATTATCCTTGAATTGCATCCTGTTTGATAATTGGAAGAAGATATGTTTCTTCATTTTATGATTTATATCAATGAAATTTCGCCACCGTGACAATTGGAGAGGTTTGGAAAATTATCACTGAAATGGGTTGTTGTGAAGGCTTGTTTTATGGTGGAAGGGGAAGGGGGACAAATTATAGGGATTCTTCGTCTTAAGCAGAGGGCAAGGGTACTACTGTGTGCAAGATCAAAAGCTTTGATTATCTTTTCCATAATGATTAAAAGTTAGTTTTGCTAAAGGATATTAAAACTGAATGGATAATGTTCTGAACTGAGCACTTCCCTCTGTCATCTTGCAGCTGCAAGTGGAGATTATTTGTTTTTCTCTTTGTTATGATGATTTAGTTCATTCACATTCTCCTACTCTTCTTACTCTGGATATAGTTTTTCTTTCTGAGATTATATCATGAAGCCTGATTTTCTAAGTTTCAGACTTTCAGTGTCTATTGTTAAGTGTTTTTCTTCTGTGCACAGCATTATGCAATGGAGGGGCTTAATACGTGCCTTGTGATACACTCTCAGGACCCTACAGCCGATTTCTTACTGAATTGTAAAATTGGAACGTCTCCTACCAAATGCAACAACCACCTCTCTGCTGTTAAATTGGAAACTACTAAAGTCTGTTCCCCTTCCATTATCTCCTCTTATTTTATGTGTCATTTTAATGTTCCAAGAAGAAGTAGATACTTGCCTCAAATGCTCCTATCTCACTTCAGATGCTTATTGAACCTCTCCGTCGTATCAAGGAAGCTGATGACCGTCTTCAACTGACACAAGGAGCTCTTGAAGTGGTAGGTATGTAACTCAGGTTTTTAGTCATAATGGGAGTTGAGTTTCCAAGAAAAGTTCCCTTTTGTTGCTCTATTTGCCGTTTTGCTTTAGGCATTTTCGGGTTCTTTCATATTGTAGGTGGTTGCAGAAGAGCTTGGTGTACTTCCCGGAATGGATTCTATATTTTCTGTCTTGGCACTGGGTAGACTCTTAGGATTTTTGAGGAATGATTCTCAGCAAAACAGTCAGCAGGAGAAATTTGATATTATCGTACTTGATGGTATGAGCTCAGAGGAAATAGTTCGGATGATTGGTGCAACCAGCAAATCAAGGTCAAATAGCTTTCCACGTTTCTGAATCTCTCTCTGATTTTCACCTGAAATCATAGCCACCTTGCAGCCTAATTGAGAAAAGGGAAAAGGAACGGAAAACTAAGCATAAATTGACCTATTCATTTTCATTTGCAGATTGTATTTGAAGTATTTGCGCAGATTGGCTGAAAAAACAGACATGGGAAGGTTGGCAGGGCCCTCCCTTCTGAGACTTTTGGACGAAGCTATGGGTTTTAGTAATCCAGGGGCAATTCTTAATGGTAGCTCACAAATTTGGGATCAACTGGAACAGATATTAGAGGTTTGTGAGTTCATCTGAGATTTTCACGGTTTCAGGAGTAGTGTCACACTAAAAATTGCCCTTGGCTTGTCTGTTGCAGAGAGGATCTTCTTTCTTTAATGCATTGCAAAGCTTTGCCTGTTACCTTGTTGTGGACTCAAACAGGCACCTATCTCTAGCTTCAGCATTACGCTACTGGGGATGTGCAATTCAAGCTGGTGCCCAGGTCTCCGGAGCTCTCACCTTTGGAACACAAAACACTAAAATAGAGTTGGCAGATGTTGCAAAGAACTTCTCACCATTGCCTTTTGCATGTATGCCACATCTCTCATTGAGTAGCTATCCAGACTGGAATGGTGTTTTGATGGATGCCCAAAGTCAAGATGCACGGAGGATACTTAGGTTAACAGGCCATGACTCATCCATCTCACCTCCTGTCAATTTCAATCCAAGCAATAAATCGATCACACTTTTGATGCCTGGCTTTGACAAGTCAGAAATCAAGCTATATCAGGTAGGTTTCTCGTGGTTAATCATGGGTGCTAATCAATTTGTGCATGTTTATTGTCTTTAATGAATGACGTTCAACCAGAGCTCTGTTCTACTGCTCTACTCATGATGTCAGACTTCATGGTCATCTTTCTCATGATCAGAATGACTTTGAACCCAAACTATTGAGCTGATGTCTTTTTGCTTTCCTTCCATGATGAATACAGTTTAGGGGAGGATCTGAATTGTTGGTTGAAGCAGGTGATCAAAGACGAATCATCCATCTGCCTTCTCAGATCCGGGGGAAAGTTGGGGGCGCCAAATTCATTGATAGAAGTCTAGTAATCACAATGCGTTAGATTTAGAGTTATGTTGTTCTTGGTTATTGTACCTGACAGGAGAAGAGATATAGAGGCTGTAATAACATGTTGTAATCACGGAATATAAGTTCAAGAAATTGATCGTGCAATACATCTTTTTCTTACTTCCATGCTAGCGAGTTTTCCTTCTGTTGGAGAGGCGTTTATGGAAACTGCTGCACTAAGCCGAATAAAGCAGCTTGACTTGATTACAAAGCTCTTGAAAATTCAAACTGATGATAGAGCTCAAAACATCTTCTTCATTATTTCTTTGCAAATTGTTTAGTATAAAACCTAGGAATGAACCTATATTACAACTATTGGTGTCTGACTCTATCGAATTTGTACCACTATCTTTCTTGTTGCGCATTCGTGTTGTTTATACATGATGCATTCTACACATAGTATTATCCCTTTGTCTGTCCCGACAGTGATAAAATATCAGGTGCAAAAACAAGAAGGCAAGGTAGAAAAAGGAGGGGCGATTATCATTCATCTGTTTTCTTTTCTTCGCTTGACTGCATTCGGCTCCTCAGTTCTTCAAATGCCTTCATGCTCTCCGCATCAAATCCTCCAGCAAACTGGAAAAAGAAAGTTGTTTGGTTAATTTAGTTAATACAACTACAAGTTCGAACTCATTATCACTTAGGATGATCACTATGAACAAATTCTTTTTGTCACTATTTCAGGGCAAATTCTCGTAATATTGTTCTCTGAATTGTGCATATCTTTTCCAGGGAATTTACATTCATTGAAGTTACAGTTCTATGTAGTACTTCTGGTTGAGGGAAAACTAAATGTTGTGAAATCCAATCAAAGAGTGACGACGGGTTTTACCTGATGAACACGGAAAGCAAAACGAACCCCTTGTAAAACCAAAAACTCCCTGTTAGGCTCTTTCTCAGGTCCAGTCAAAGCATCAAGTTCTGATGCTACACGTTTCATGTATTTCCTTGCTAACTGAACCGATGAGAGCTTGATCTGCAATTGGGAAGAGCAGCTTTTTAGAAAGTTGGAACAGGACAGAAGCAATTTATGCAGTATGTATATATACATACCTTGCCAATCAATCCAGAATCAGACAACCAGTCAACTGGGATTCCGAATTCTTTGTAACGAGACATTGCCATATCTCTAGTGCGCAACAGTGCGTAGACACTCTGCTCAACTCTGAATCAAAATGAGCAGAGGTATAAGGTAAGCTTTGGATTAATGATTAAGTATTAATGTGAAATAACTTGTGGTTGGTTTGCTCCAAATGCACTAGATGGCATCCTCAATCTGTTTTTGATTTGTTAGAATATTTGGAAGAAATTCTTACTTCTCAAGCAGCTTGTACATCTTGTTTAGAGCAGCTTCACAAGGAAGATTAGGATCATCAGCAAACAAAGTTACTTGCTTCTCCAGCTTCACTAGGTCTTGAAACTCGAAGGCTGCTTCTCTTAGTGCATCTGCTTTCCCTTCAGGCCAATCAAAATGCTTGAGAACTGCTCGTTCATCAACCTTGGGTAACACGATGAATTAGAAAGGGTAAGGCATAAATGTTGAAGATGACTGGAAGAACAGCAGGGCATGACATTGAGAACTCTTTGCTGGGTACCTCACATGTGGAATAAACTTGAGAGAAAGTGAATATATCTTACCAGAAAGGAGAGTTCCTCGTCCAACCAGTTCACAAATGCCACCAAATCTTCTATTTTGGTAAATGAGGCTGCTCGAACTTCAGTTGCCAATGACTGGACAAAATCACCTTGTGTTTCCACATCAGCTTTTACCTGAAATATAAAAATGGATTTTTCCTCAGAATCTGTAACAAGCATTTGAATAGATTGAAACGACGACGAAGTAACTTCTAACATACAGCCAATAGGAAGGATGATCTGTTCTCTATCTCTCCAATCATGTTACTCCTAGCTTCTGCTGTATTTGAGGACGAAGATATCAAAGGTGATGATGAATCTTTCTTTGCCTCACGTTTCATCAGAGATTGGTAGAATTCAACAAGTTCAGGTGCACGATGAACCTTATCACCACCACCTCCAGCTCTGGAAAGAGATCCTGGGGGAGGAGGTGGACGAGGGGGAGCACCAGGTGGAGGCGGAGGTGGGGGAGCACCTGGTGGAGGCGGTGGTGGAGGTGGGCCTCCTCCACTTGCAGCATTTGTAGTTGGGCCTGCAGGAGCACCTGCTGATGGCGTAGGAGGTGGGCGAGGGACTCGCGGAGCACGTTTCTCGATATGAGCCAGTTTCATTTTACTCACTTCTTGAGTATCACTCTTGATGTCACCAGACATCGCACTTGCATCAACAGAAACTGGTGTTTTCTCTTTTATCTGAGAAAGTTTTGAGGGTAAAGTCACTGATTTAGTTCTGTCTAGCTTGAAACTTGAAGTGTCACCAAACCTTGCAGCTCTTGCTTGATCAGCTTTCTCCTTGATATGTTTCTCTCTCTCTAAGGCAAGCTTATGCCTGTCTTTGTAAACAGGATACTTCTCATCCAGAGTGCCTTCAACTGATCTAGACATTAACTGAAATGATGATGCAACTGAATTAAGCGAGTCATCTTGGGTTCTGATCTGCGAGGATGCTGGAGTTCCAGGAGAACCAGGTACATCCTGCTCAGCTGTCCCAAAGGAAGTTATGGCAACACTATCACCTGCATTCCTTAACATCAATGATTCTAGAGGTCCTCTTGGTTTGAGGCTCATACTACTCCGGCCAGGAGAGACTCCTCCAAATGATCTTGCTGGAGAGTATGAGTCATCTTTACTTCGGCCCCATTTCTTCAGCTTTTGAATTAAACCAGGCTTCTTACTTGCACTGCTATATCTACTCATGGAACTATCAATTGAAGTGTTATCAAAATCCTCACTTCCAGGAGATGAAGGGTGAGAGAAGTTGCTTTCAAGGTCTGTGTCCCCTTGTCCTCGTTCTGATCCTGCATATTCCAACATTAGTTGTTTGGCCTTCTCTTGAGATCTTGGGCTTAAATTCTTGTTTAGATCGCGAGCCGAAATTTTTCCAGAAGGTGTTTGATAGTTTCTGAGCTCATATCTTAAGCATGCGTTGACCCAACGAAGGTACACAAGCTCTTCAACCTCGCTGAACCTATTCAGTTGAAGTCCTTCCACTTGTTTCACAAGATCCTCATTTGCATGTTTTAAGCTATTGACCTCCTCCCTTACCTTTGCAACCATTTCAGTCTGCAGAGCATAAAGAAAGATGTGACGAAATCACGTACATTGAAAACTAAAAAGCTTTAACATTTTCATTTGAAGACACTAAGAAGCTTCATTTGGATGAACAGAGTGAAATGATGTTGTTCTAACATAGAACTGGATCAAAGCATTTTCTGCTCATAACTGCTGAGAATTCTAGTATTAAAAGTCTCAAAAATCCTACCATATTAGGCAACAGATTATGAAGTATTATATGATAAGTGAGCGGCAAAACTTGTACCTCTGTCATGTTTGAAAGGGATACTACTTTGGCCTCAGCTGCATCAAGCTTGACAACCAACTCCCTTTTTTCATACTGAAGCTCTTTATTTTTCCTTTTCAATTCCATAACCTCCACCTCCAGCTCCTTAGCAGCTTTAAGCTTCTTGTCAATCTCAGAATCTTTTCTGAAAGCTTCCTCTTCTTTTGCCTGAAGCCCAGTTACTTGCTGCTTGAGCAACAAGAGCTGGCCTTTCGTCTGGTTTGCTTCAAGCTGAATTTGTCTTTGCAGCTCCTTGATTTTATATCTAGCAACCTCTAGCTCTTTTTTCAAAGAAGCCCCCTGCGATATTTCCTCTTGAAGTTTTTTCCTCTCAGTCTGCAGGGAATTTATTGTTACGTTCAGCATATCAATTTCGAGAGTCTTTATCTTCAGCTGTTTTTGTAACTCAGCAATATTTGTTTCTTGCTCCTTCAATCCATAATACTCAAGTAATTCACCTTCAAGCTTCACTTCCCTTTCCTCCAATTCCTTCACTAAATTGCGTAATCGTACCAGCTCGTTTTCATTAGATACCATCTCATTTTCATATAACCTGTCTCTATCTTCTTTGGAGCCTTTTGCTGTATCATATTTGTCATCAGGTAATATAAAATCAATCTCACCAGACAAAAGATTTTCAAATTCAGGCAATATCTCATCGTCATACTCGGATGAAATCCTTGGAGCTGGATTTATAATGCCATTAATTAATTTAACTTCTTCCTTTTCCTCTTCCTCCTCAATCTGCAAGTCCTGAATCATGTATATGAGTAACAGACATGTAAATTAACATGAAAACAGGAGAGCTTAACTAGCATGATTAAAGTACAGTCAAAAGAAAAGTATAAATGTCCATCTCCCCAATACTTACAGCCAACTCTTTGATGCCATCTTCAGAATATGTTGAATGCTCTTCGTCTTTCTCTTTAAAGGATTCATCAGCCTTCCCTGAAACCCATATCCACTCAGAGATATAAGTAAAACAGTATAGTTAAAATAAAACTAGTGTAGCTTTTTAATTATATCATGATATTCTGTTCGATTAAAATCTTCATTTCTTCATAAAACAGGACATCTAATGCAAAGAGCCTCATCATTAACTTCAGTAGCAAAAGCCACTTTGTTTAAGTGAATCATACAGGAGAAAAGCTGCTTGCTGAATAAAAAAACAATTGCAGAAACTAGGAACTCGGGAGAATGATTCACCTGAAGGCTTGGTCACAGAAGACGATGACCTTGCATTTTTTGCATTAATCTGCTTGACTGCAAAGGCTGCCGCTGAAGCAGCAACCAATAGGCTTAACCTGACTATCATGTAGGAATTGATGGAAAGTACTGAACCTTCCACTCATCTACCAAGATGAACCAATTCTTAAGCTGTTCTCGACTCATTCTTTCCCACACCCATAGTCCCTAATCAAACCATCTCTCAGCTAGCATCCAGAGCATTGGAAATGCCAAGCTAATGCAAAAGCCAAGAAAGATAATCTTGTTGAAACAGCGGGAAGAGAGAAGCCAGGCTAGAGAAGCTACTAAATGGAACAGTGAACTCTGCCAGTATAACTGCCAATGCTATGTCCCCAACAATATTAGCATTATCAGTTTTTCAGGCTTTTCAACCATACAAGCGGGTCTGTCTAAGTAAGGTCCTGAAAACAGACCAATGGCAACTGTCAACAAAAGAGCTACAGGAACCACCGAAATCTAGTGGTTATCGTTTCTCCAAGAAGATTGAACTTCTATAACTGGGAATGTCAAATTTGCTGACCTGCTTATAAGCAAAGGATAAAACAATTAAATAAGTTGATATACAGACTGAAAAGGACTCCAGCAAAAAATGACTTGAACACATGAAAAACGCTGCACTGTTCAGTTTTTACAGACAGTTAGGAAACAAAAGTGGTAAGTAAACTAAAGCTGTGACTAGCACCAGACCATAAACACACTTGGTAATTCTGTCTCATTAAGTTCAAAACAAATAACTAGAACAGTGAAAGTATTAGTGGAAATGGTCTAGATGTTAAATGTTGATTTGGGTAAGATTATTCTTGTGTGTGCTATAGAGGGTAAGGGGCATCAGTGGGTCAAAATTGCACATAGATACAAAATCATGTGCTTATTTATGGCCTTTCATATGTTAGAGGGTGAATGAAGATGATAAGTTTGGCAAAAAGAAAAGGGTGGATTGGAGCATATGGACGTTATTAGCCAAGAGAAACCAGTTTAAATCAAACTTTAAAGCATTGCATTGTGGGACATGACCTTTTTCCCACATGTAAGCCTTTTTGGCTTTTTCCCCTGTAATGTTACTAATAGTATTGATTGCATGAGTTTTAGGGCTCATTAGGCTCAACAAAAGCTCTAGCTTTTTTCCTCCATTTCATCACATATGACAAATGTTAGGAAACCCTACAGAAGGTTCAATCACAAATCACTCTGACATATACTCCCAGTTAACTACTGTCTACAGCCAACCAATTTGGGGAAATTCCACAGGATAGAAACATAAGTAAAAGAAAGCCATCTCCTTCCATATAGCATTTGGGAATTGTCACTGAACAGTTAGTTACCAGAGAAAAATGAGGATTAGGTTGATTTTGACTTGGCAAGCCAAACAGATATTCAATCAAGTTTGCAACACGGGTCAATATCTTTTGGTAATAACTAGTCAGAAAATATGATAAAAATTCATTAAACCAAAAGGGATAATAGTGGTTGAATCAACATCAACAACATTTCCCTTGGACAACAGTTTGCCAAAATATCCAAGAAGAAAATCAAGGCAATAAAATGAGAAAAAAACTATTCCATAGAGATAGATAAGTTAGGCCAATTTGGATCACAAACACTGTCATAACATAAGCCAAATTATTATCCACAATACTGGTGGTTCTCATTTATCAGCTGAAGGCCACTCTGCTAGTTGGAATGATAAGCACTTCAACAAGTTTTGGACAAAACAATAACAGGCAATATACTTTGCTTAGGGGGATTGAAGACTGATGTGTGGACCACCTTCCAACATCAACTAAAAAACACTAGGACTCCTTGTCTCTTTCTCCTCTTAAAATACCTTCCCCTGCACCCCCATTTTTCCATTTCCATCATTCCGGCTTCTACCGCCCCACCACCCATGGCAGTGTTGGTGTGCCTAAGTGTTTGTGTCTACTCATACATTCAGCAAATCTAAAATCTTAACCTTTTCAAGTACAAAAGAAAAGATTCCATCTTGGAGTTCCCATTATGTTTCTTGAACTCCAATTTTTTCCTCAAAAAGAAAAGTTCTGAGCCTGAACAATAGCCCACAAGTTTGAACTCTGAAGAGCGGTTTTTCTCATAGGCATTACCGTTAGCATCTAGTACCTAATTGATAAATAAGGACTTGAAATGGAGCAACCCAGAAACGCAAATGCAAATATCTAAAGTTATTCTAAAGAAAAAGGAAAAAAGAGAAAATAGAAAAAGGAGAGGGCTTTGTGTTTGTGAAATAATTTAAGGATATATAGTAGAGGATACCTGAAGATGCTGTTCCATTTGTGCAAGAGGGGATAATAAAAGCGCAGGAAGCAAATAATCTGTCTTGGAAAGACAGAATCCAAGAGACGACGTAGATGAGAGTCTTGAAAATTGCTAGGATTAAGGTTACCCAGATAGAAGTAAAGATTAGTTTCAAATTTCAAGTGGATAACTCTAAAAGTTGACTAGAAATGGCGCCAGTTTGATTTTGGGCAGCAAGATTTGAACCTTAAGAAGTTGGAAAACCAAGGAGATATTGTCCGCCCTTTTTCTGGCGGTGTGGGAGAATGGGGAACCATAGGTGCTCAAGTTTATTTCCCGATTGCCAAATTTTGCAGTAGAGTAATGTGATACCGAAAACTATTTCCCGCATCGTTACAACAGGCTTTGTTGCATTTGGTAGTAATTTGAAATTGTACAATAATGACAAGCTATCTTTTCTTTTATACGCAGCTCATACAAAGATTTGATGAGTGAACGGCTTCATTGGAATCTAGTCGGCTATCAATCAGTCTGAAAGAAATCAATGAGTTTTGAAATTAATCTTCCGGTTTCACTAGTTGGAACTCATGATTTCTTGTCCCACCTCCATCTTTTGCCAGCATCCCCAAGAACCTTGGCCCGTGCTTGGCTCTTCCGGGCTTCATCATCAACCCAAGACCTGCATCCACAGTTTTCTAGCTTAGATAAATTGACTTTCCAATGATCGTTAACAGCGTGTAGTATATAAGGCACAGTGCAGTATAAGGGGTAGAAGGTAATCACCCAATTGCAACTAGCAAATTTTCACATTTGGCCTTTTACAAATTTCTGAAAAAGATTTGACAAATGATATAGAAGCTGAATGCTTTACCTCAGTATTCGAAGCGCTTCAATCTCAGCTTCCAGTATTGACTTTGCATCAAGTAGACCTTCATGCTTTAGCTGCAGATCTTGCAGCACACCCTCTAAACTGTTCCGCTCATTTATAAAATTGGCTCTCTCTACCTCAAGATGTTCTGACATCTCCTGGACCTCTAGCTTCAGACTCGAAAGAAGTTGTTTCTGACAGTCCAGAGCTGCCTTCTGCTTCAAAATCTCAGCCAAACCACTTTCTTGAATAGCTTTCTCTTGTTCAAGATCATGAATAGCATCCAAATAATCTTTTTCAATCTCCAAACCATGATTTCTTTCTTCTTCTATCTTCCGCTCCCAAAACCTCCGAATAATTCCTCTGTCAAGAAGCTCAGATTTAATTTCTAGCTTTGCGGTTTCTTTTGATGCATTTTCAGCCTCTAGTCGGGATAATTCAGCATGTATGAAATCTGCCATTCTTCCACTAGTCAAAGCTACAGCTGCTTGTGCCTTAGTGGATGGTTTTCTGGGTTGAAGTCGCTTGATCTGTCCTGTAAATGTAAGTCATATCCACCAATGTTAGATTACTCAAACAACAGTTCTCTAGATTTTTGAAGAGTGCAAGCAAGTTTGTGCATAACACATGATCATCATCTATGCACATTTTACAGCAGGTTGGGTGGAGAAAGGATGGATACATACACTATTAACCCAAAGAGAAAGAGAGGGATACATACCGAATACTCTTCTGAGGATACTCTTCTCATCCGCCAGTGTATCCGTGAAAAGATCAATTACTGCTTCTGAACTTATGTCCCTTGAGTCTAGAAAAGGAATGTTCTTCGTTGATACCTGAACTGTACGTAAAGTCAAACTAAAATTTTGAGACAAAACCCTCAAGAATCATTTTCGTTTTCTCCTCTAGTACGACATACAAGGAATGCAAAAAAGAAGGTAATATGCAGCAGTTCAAACAGCTTTTTACCTCTTTATTTATTCCTTGCATGACTCCATACTCAAGCTTGGCCTTCCAACTAATCAGATCCTGACGTGATATAAATCTGCAACGCCAAAACATTGTCTTATGTTGTAATGAACCATTAGAAGGGGAAATGTAGAAAATGTTAAACTTGAATACCTTTCAGGCGAAAAACAGGCAACCGGTTCTCCATCTGAATCTTTCTTATCAGAAGAAGTACTTCCATCTAGAAGTTTGCTTGCCACAATGCCCGCTTCAGCTAGGCCTAAATGAAGAGTTACAAGATGTAATCAGATGATTACCCCACAAAGTAGATATGATAATAATTTTATGGAGGAGCAAGATTGATCCTTACATTGAATTTGAACAAAATCAGGGTCATTAACATTTACATCATCAAAGGCAGCAACTGCAGAACCAGAAAGAGCAGCAGCTGAAACTATTCGATGCCTCTGGCTTCTGCAATGAATATGAGAAAATGGAATGAAGCAGATCAGAACAACGTTCAATCAGCTGCAACATTTACTGAAGATCTTTATAATACAGAACAATCATGTTCAGTCTCTACCTTTCCAGCTGTGAATTTGCGCGAATTAACCATCTTGCATATTCTCTCCTAGTACACAACTCATCTTCTGTAACACTGTCCTCAATAATCTATATACCTTAAGTACATTTGAGAAGATATGCTCAGAACTGAAACAGTAGGAAACATCAATATGTCCAGGAAACGAAAAAAAATCTTTTTTCAAATCATAAGTGATAGGTTACTGACATAATCTATAATACAACGCAAAAAGTTATTCTGATGAGATAATGTTTTTGTAATTCCAGATCAGCAAAAAGCTTACATCACCCTTATAAAAAAAAAACAATAATTCCAAGGCCATACCTTGAGTTTCTTTAACAGACGTAGAGCTTCCTGCTGAGTAGAATCAGCAGCAACTGGGACCCTAATTCGCCCAAGCTGGCGGGCACCTTGTAAGTTATGCTTTGGTTCTGAAATAAAAATGCAAAAAGATTAGTTGTGACCATATGACTCGGTGACTAACCAGTACTCACGGAGAACAGTAACTATTCAATTAACTAGAATTAAAACCTCTACCAGATGCATGTAGTGATATCCCAGGCAAACATTTTGATAATCCCGCAATCAAGCGATACCTTTTGGATGGGTATGAAGGTTGCAATACAAAATGTACTGTAATTGCCAAAAGTAAGCTTTAAGAAGAAAATAACCTTTACAAAAATGAACCTCATAGTGAGTAAAACAAGAGCTACAAGAATATTTTCAAATGGTAAGTTGCTCTCTGGGAAAACTCTCTATTTATACAATTCATGGACATGTATACCTAGCAAAAGTTTTGACCTCATTAAAACAGTTGCAATCACTACCTACATGCTGCCATGGCTAATTCCCAATTCCAAGTCATTCAAACTTAAACATATAAGAAACTCAGAGTACCTTTCAGCACATTTTGCTTTACAGTATCGGAAACATCCTCCAAATAATCTTCAGAAGTCTCTGCTTTGTCCTGAAGGACCTCAGATTCAGCAATTTCAATTGCTATGCCATTCCCCTCAGTTTGATAAGGCAATACACTACCTAGCCTACTAAATGGAGCACTGAACTGAAACTTAAATCCTGGCAATACAAACAGATCACCATATTCAGCAAAAAAAAGCACATGTAGAGGAACTAACTTCAGATTTTATTATTAACTTTTTTCCGAATAGAACTTCAGATTTTATAATTATAATAATAGCTAACCTTTTCTTGAAAGCGAAAAAAATGCAATGACTCCGAGCAAAGCAGTTGCCCCAATGCAGATCATTACTATCGCACCTTCTAAAGAGAACAAAAAGAAAAAAAATCATAATTAAAACCCTGCTCATTATACATCCATTTTAGCCAAATTTACCAACCAAGAACAAAAAAATGAACAGAAGTCTGCTGAAAAACTTGTGGGATGGTGGAAAGATGATACCTTTTCTCCTCTTCTTGAGCTGAGTTGGAGTTTCCACAACTGCCCAACCATTGTAGTCATCCGGGCCCTTCAGTTCAGTCGAGACCCACGATATTCCTTGATCCTTCTTGGCAATCGAAGCAGAAATTCGAAGATTCCCTGGATGATTTCTGGGACTGATTAAAATTGCGTGTTCCAACTCGTGAAGACTTAAGAATCGGAACTTTGAGGGCAAACAGATGGGAAAACGAGACCCAGAAGAGCAAATTTTCATCTTCAGCCGCAGTTTGACAAACCAGCAGCAATCAGCAGGGAAGGATTTCTACTGTACTTGGAATAATCTTCAGAAAGAGTGTATAAGTGCAGCCATTCGTGTCTGTACGCACTTAAAATCTTCGTATTCACTATCCGTAAAAATTAATCCCACATCGTTCTCTTGAGAATAGGATTACCGGTTTAAAATTAGGGTGTCTTTTCAGCGGAGGAATCAGGTGGCCCAATACCATAAGTATTTTCCAATCCCACAACTTGTCCACTTTTAGGGCCTATAGTGAAATTTTAAGCCCAAACATGCCTTGACACCATCCATCCATCTCTTCTGAATGTGGAGTATATCATTTTGTTTTTTACATTTCAACAGACGTAGTAGATTAGTAAATTATGCCCCAAACATGCCTTGACACCATCCATCCATCTCTTCTGAATGTGGAGTATATCATTTTGTTTTTTACATTTCAACAGACGTAGTAGATTAGTAAATTATGCCGGTGCACTGTACGGATTATATTAGATGTATTGCGATAAATTATAAATTTATTATCATGATGAGTCGAGCGTTAATGTCGCAATATGATAAAATTTGTGTCGTATATGTGATTTAATAATTCTACATTTCAATAGACATAGTAGATTAATAAATTATGCTGGTGTATTGTACAGATTATATTAGATGTATTGTGCCAAATTGTAAATTTATTATCACACGTGAGTCGAGCGTTATTGTCGCAATATGATAAAATTTATGTCGGATATGTGATTTAATAATTCTTGCCCGAGTGGTGTGAATTACATTCAAATTTTTTTTTATGTATTTTATATTCCATATTCAAGATAGTATAAATTTTGAAGGATAAAATATTAGTATGATTCATCTGTAGTAAAATTTTAAATGTAATTATTGATAAAATCTATATATAATAACTTGGTAGTGTAAATCTGTAAATTTGTTCAAATAAATTTAGTAAACTCGGGATGGCATTTTTATTGAACTTAAAATGAATAAAAAAAAAGGAGAAGAAGAAGAAAAAATGTAAGTAAAATTCTCAACCCGTAACAATTTTGATGACTATTATTTATCTCCAAAAGAAAATTTGTACGGATACTTTCTAAATTGGTAAATTTTGTGCAATATTAAATGTCTTTTCCCCCTTTAATAAAAGTAAACATGCCTCGGAGATTTACAACATAAGGATTTGGTTTCTTGGCACTTGGGCTAAGAAGACAACCATTTATTGTTTGCATACATGATGAGAGGTTTATGCTTTGGCGATATTGCTGCTAATATTACAATACCACTCAACAAAGCCAATCCAAGTCCTAAACCATTCACAACCATCGATTCTGTGGAACGCTTCATCACATCTCCTCTGGTTTGCAAGAATGTCAATTTTTCAAGTAGTCCTGTCTCCGCTGTTATCACTGCCAATGCATATGTGTAGAGCCCTACGAATACATGCCATGGCAGCACTCGAACCCTTGTGCCGCGAACTTCCCCTTTATGCCAAAAGCTCAAGAAACCTAATATCCACTGCAACACCATATGGGAAGAAGATATGAGGAATTGGAGCAGAGATTACAATACATGAATTGAAACTGAGAAAAGGTGAGATGGTTTGTTTCGCTTATTATGCACTAACCGCGCCCAATGAGGGAAACCGATACAGTTGAAAGAAACGTTGTCAAAGTAACTTTGGACTCCCATCTCAAAACCAATTGGCAATGAGTGGGGTGGTTTTTGACACTTATAAATCTCAAAACCAATTGGCAATGAGTGGGGTGGTCTTTGGCACTTATAAACAGGTGACAGATCCTTCACGACACCGATGTGGGATTCTTTTGTCCCGACACCCTCCCTCAAGCCTAATGGGATATTTGGCCCATTGGGGTTGCACAACATAACATAATTCACTAGATATACTGTTGAGTCAGTCGACAAGCTCGTACACACGGGTACATACTCCGAATATACTGTCGGTCCACCCGTGTGCACGGAAGCGATTGACGCAAGTCTAAGGCACACGGATCCAAACCCGCACACGCGGGTCCTGTGCCTTGGGCTCCTATTTCAAAACCAATTGGCAATGAGTGGGGTGGCCTTTAGCACTTATAAACAGGTGACAGATCCTTCATGACACCGATGTGGGATTCTTTTGTCCCAACACCCTCCCTCAAGCCCAATGAGATATTTGGCCCATTGGGGTTACACAACTCAATATAATTCACCAGATATACTGTTGAGTCAGTTGACAAGCCCGTAAACATGGGTACATACTCCGAATATACTGTCGAATCAGTAACAAACCCACCCGTATCCACGGAAGCGATTGACGCAAGTCCAAGGCAAACGGATCCAAGCCCGCACACGCGGGTCCATAGTTATCACAGATCCACAGATCGTGAGCTCTGATACCATGTCAAAGTAACCTTGGGCTCCCATCTCAAAACCAATTAGCAATAAGTGAGTGGCCTTTGGCACTTATAAACAGGTGACAGATCCTTCACGACACCGACGTGGGATTCTTTCGTCCCAACAAACGTCACTCATTTAGTCATTTGTATACAGATGATAAGGTGGACTCGTCATGTTCAAGATCACTTTTATTGGTAGTGAACCAACAACATTAGAACTCTGAATCGGAGTTCACTTACCGGAACTTAATAATTGTTGAGGACTAGCTTATGTATTTCTTCTTTAACATCCCTCCAAAAGGGAAAGCAGAAACAAACGGTAGGGATCATGAATTAGACCCAACCAACCCCTCAATGTCAATGATTAGACCAATTCAGCATTTTGTACCTAATGTACTTCATAGACCAACTTTCATTTTATTGTTTTGTTATTTGCTCTAATTAATCAAAGTCCAAAGATGAAAGATGGAACGCTCCACCTAACTGGATTAGTCGTCCAAGAAACATCCTAAAATGATCCATTGAACTGGACAAAATTACGACCAAAATAAACACTAAAAATATGCAGATACTTCTACTGTTAAAAAGAGAGTAAAATGCTGAAATTCTTTTCTTTCTTTGACTACCGACAATGCTGAAAGAGTGAAAGAGGGATACACAAACGGCCATATAAAAATCTTCTTGTCTGCTTTTTCATTCGGTGTTGATGCATGTAGAACAAACGTGTTAATTAAACCAGAGAAGCAATTAACTTTACTGGAGCAAGAAGAAGAAGAAAACCTGAGCACCAAAGAGAGTGATACAAAACAGGCCCATCCAAGAGTGGAGACTGTAGAAATTGGCCACAATCCCATCATTGCTATGGAATTTTGACCAAATCCCAAAAATCCCAGAACCCAGAGCAAATCCTTGGAGGCTCAAGTGTACAGATTTTTTCCTATTGCTCGAACCAGGCAACCATCTGTGCACCAAAATTGCTGAGGAAAAAAAAACCCAATAAAACCAACATTAATATGCATTATCCCACCCACTTCTTCATCAAAAAGCAATTCTGAAAAAATAAAGTAGAATTCAAGAATTGTAGTTAGATCCAAGTCAGCATGCATTACCTTCTCCGCTAACAACAATGAATCCAATCACCATTGACAAAGGATGAAGAACCTGAAAGAAACAAGAAAGCCCCCAATTCAAATTCACACTAGAATGCACCCCAAATTCATGAATTATCAAAGAAAAAAGTGAGCCCCCTTTTAAAATTTAGCTCAAAAACACACCTGAATGCAGGTCAAAGTAATGAATTATCAAAGAAAAGAGAAGAAGCATTTACAGCATAAATGAGGTCTTCTTGAGAGGAAGAACGAGGAGTGAAACTGTTCTTGAATCGAAGTGCCCAAATGAGTACAAGAGCTGCAACTATAAAAGCAGAGAATCTGGCAGTGAGGAGGAGAGATGGTGAAGAGAATAATGACACTGAAACCATGGTCTTCTTCCTACTCTCTCAGCAAGGTACGGTTCTATCTCACTGAAACAAACATCAATTCAAGCAAAGAAAGAACTCAGCTTTACTGTTACTGACTTCACTCCACCGACAAAGTTGGATCCAGAAGTAAGCATTCCCCATAGACAGAGACACCCATAGACAGAGACACCAAAAAAAAAAAGAAAAGGGTTGAGCAAACAGCGAAGAATTCTGCTTTAATTAGCAAAGAAATCTGCACATCTGTGACATATATTAAGTATAAACTTCACATATATTAAGTTTGTAGACATTACATGATAATTTGATTCCCCTATCAAGTTGTTATAGCCTATAGGTAGAGGAGGAGTAATGATTTGAGGAATACTATTCAGTATACTATTGTTTCTTTATCTTTGTTTAATGTTTTCAAGTAAGAGATGGAGCCCAGTTTTCTTGGTTGATTGTCCATAATAATAATGTAATCCCAATAGATTTATAATTTTATTATATGGCCCCTGAGTTGAGCTTACTGGAAATTGACAACTTATTAAATAGCCCAAGAATGGGTTGATGAAGATAAAGGAACGATTCCCTGTATTTTTTGGCATAGAAAAATTGAACATTCTCACGCTAAAGTAACCTTTTTTTCTTCTTTTTTTTTTTTGTATCACAAAGTTCAACGGAAAATATGATGTACAGAATGTAAAATTATTCTTGAATAAACATCATCAGTTCATCACACTGGTCTTTCAACGGTTGTTGTCCCAGTTCGTTCATCATATCATATTAATTAATAAAATAACAATAGAAGGATTTCATTTTTAGTTATTGGATTAATTGGTCAAAATGGAATATTTCAGTTTTAATCACATACGTTACATTTACAGTTTATTAGTATTATTATTTTTGTGTTCCATGGGATTTATTACTATTATCTTAATTCCAAAGACCTTTTTTTTTTTTTTTCTCTTTTTTTGAAGAAGCAAAGTCCTTTTCTATGTATACTGTATAGTACTGTGAATCGAATTTTTTTTTTCTTTTTTATCTTTGAAGTCTCGGTGATATAGTAATTCAAAGATTAGAAATTGAAGCGGATTGGACCACTAAATGTAGAAACCTTTAAAGCTTGATTAAAGTAAAACCAAGCTAGTTTTCTCTAGCAAAAACAACGGACAATTTTATTCAAAGAGTCCAATTGGAGTTCAACTGATTCAATCATCCTGGACGAATAATAAAAGTGGATTTAGAATTTTCGAGGAGTGTTTAACCTTTGATTAACCAAAACAATTTATGTGCCGACACGGTTGCTAAGGACACGTCCGGCATAGGGAACTTTGTTTGCTCCAAATTGTGTGTTTTTGACGAAAGAAAGAATTAAGTACAATGATTAACAGTAACGTAGAGGTACTTCTAATTTTAAAAAACTTATTTTTAGTATACCAAACTCATTGCTGACGAATTCAAATTCGAGTCAAATAAGTTTATGTAAAAAATATTTTGATCACTGTTATATGTCCATGGTGGATTTGAGTCAAATAATTATCTTCTCTGTTTTCTTGCAGTTTTTTTAAGGCGCGCCATCCTCGATTTGAAAGAGGAACCACCGCTCTGGCTTTTACTTTTGAAGAAGGAATCATGTTAGCTGTTGTACATCTACAGGGCACTTACTAAGTTTTGTTTTCAAAATTTAGCATCAAATCCAGATAATGTCGTTGAGCTCAATTCTCACATGCTTGCCTCCATATCTGGAGGAAACGAATTTTTGGCTTCAAGACCTGCAAAAGAAGGTACTACTTGTTATCTAGTTTACATTTAGTAGAATAATGGTTTTTTCCCTTTTGTATGCTCCATCTTACTATACCTCCTATGTCATTTGTTTATATGGTGCTTCGTGCTCTGCCGCTCTTTTTCCAATCAACTTTTTGAATCAGACTGGTTTCTGGTTTTTCTTGTAGACGCAGACGCGATATGTCTGTTGCTGAAGCTGCAGACTTGGCAAAAAGAGCTTTGTGCATTGGTTGGTGTACTTATGGCTCCCCGTAGTGAGGATACTTGTAGTGGTATGTTTGTGATCTCCCGGCTGCTTCTATTTCTTTCATGCATGTTAGTTTGTCTCTGAAGATCCATCTCCCTGGTTTCTTATTGCTTTGTAAAGATTGTAGCCTGAAGATCTGTCCATTCTGTGGTGTTAATGTATGTATTTATTTTTCTGATGTGTACCTCTCTGTTTTGAAGTTTATTACGTAGGAAGTGGTGGGTGGGAAAAGCTGCTTGAGGATGATATAAAAGAATGGCAAGAGGCCAACATCGGAATCCCAAGGTGGAAGTAGGTGGTTATTGGAAAGGGATGGTGATCAGTTGTGTGTTTGATGCTTAGTTTTTTATCCAACACATAGCAATTAAAGTTACTCTTTCTCAGATGTTCCTTGCCAGTTGTGAGATGATGCATTTTGAAGTTCAATAATTCTGACTTCGGTTGTATAGAAAACAAAAAAAAAAGAAAAAGAAAAAAAGAAAGCAAAGACCTGAAGAGTTTCATATTTCTACGATCAAATGCTTTACAGAAATCAAAAGCCCAAAAGTTTGGGTAGCAAATCAGTAGCCAAATGGGGTTGAGTGTTTAACAACAAAACAAAAAGAAATAATGGAACACACAAATAGTAAAGATTAATCAAAGCGTCTACAAGCAGATAATGACACAAAATTTTGGAAGGGTTTTGTGTGATTGGAAGACATGAAGGCGGAGTCGTGCGTTCTTCTCGTTCCTTGACCCCTGAGTACAAAGAATTGCTGCATTGTATCAGCACATTCTGCTGCCAGGACTCTGTCGACAAACAGCTACCTTTGTCTGGAAAGGGTGAACAGGCGAAGCTGGCTAGTCTGCGTGTTCCACCTCATTCCCTCTCTCGCCATTGGCAACAGCCTAAGAAGTTGTCAATGGAACGAAATTCTGGATCAAGAAATGGAATGCACAGAGAAGACAAGTGGACCAGAAAAATTAAGAAACTACTATACCGAAAACAGACTTTTCTTCAAACTCGAAACTGGGGCACGATCAAGGATAACATAGAGTGTAGTGTCCTATAAGAGGAATGATCAAAGTAGAGACAAATGAGAAACATATACAGAAGCACTGGAAAGGACAGAATAACATGGGGTGTAGATAATTCAATCTGAGTATCACAAAGGTAATCTATTAGAACCAGTATTATAACACTCATATATTCACTGTGGTTCAAAAGGAACATAAGATACAAACCATCAAGCTATGATTCAATCATTTATCACTATGCTTGAGTTGAAACTCAGTAACATACTTGGTAACGCCGAAAAACTTGAATTTCTTGGGTGGGATCTCCCCTAAATAAACCAATCTACCACAACGAAAACAGACTGGGGTTGTAGTTTTGAACCAGTGGAAGACTGATGTTATCTTGACAAATAGATTGGTGGTTTAGTTTGAAGACTGATGTTATCTTGACCAACATATGCAAGAAGCATCAGACATTCAGACCCCATCTTGTGTTTCAATAGCATAAACAAGTAAATCGCATCCTAAAAACGATAAAAATGCAAAACTTGTCTTTTGTCTAGTTTTTTTTTGCTAACATGGGTCGTTGTCAGTTGATCTCTTGCTGCCTCATTGAAGATGGGCTTACCACTCGGCGTAAAAGTGTACAACCTAATACACGCACGACAATTCAAGCCACACATTCATACAAGTCTCTACTCAATTCATTACATGAGGAATATATATCCAACATGAAGTAGCACAATGAACAAAATTTTTCCCACTCAAATATTAACCAATTGAAGGCCAACATTAGATTTTCAGTTTCCTACCCTTCTTCAAATAAATTACACTTCCCCATCCAGTTTGCTATTAAGCTATTAATTTGAATGAGAATTATTTTCTCATAGATTGAAAAAGTTGAGTTTATGCTATCAGAGTTAGTTTAACTCATGCATGTGCCCGACTTGCAGACACAAATGTCGGACCGAACTCTCGTGGACCTGATCAACCCACGTTTGCTCTGTCTCAGATTAATTTTTCAGTCAAATAATAGAGAGACTTTTGCTGTTAGAATATTAATTCCAAACAATTTTTATTTAATCCGAATTTGACCGGATTGATTACCAATGATTATGAGGGTGTTAATGAATATAATATTTCGTTAAGCAAATGAATTAATTTGCTGCAATAAAACTGACCGTGTCAACTTTGAATTTGTGAGATTAATTCATTTAAATGAGCAGAATAAATTCATTCAAATACTTGAGTTGTTACAAATGTTTAAACATTTGACTCACAGTTATTCTGATACTATTAAAGTGAATTAATAAGAGAAAACCGTTGGGTTTTTTTGCTGAATTCAAAGGGTCTCTTCATGATATAAATAGTGGCTCATTGTTCAATTCTAAGTACCCCAATTTCTTCATAAGTTTTGTCTTAGCCTTTTCTTCTTCTTCCTTTGTGTTCATCAAATATTTCCTAAGTTCCAGTTCACCGGTGGAGCTACTTGGTGCTAAGTCGTTTTTACGTTTTTCCGTTGTATCCTGGGAAACAATTGCTCACGATCCTCTAGCACATTAGGAGGGGGCAAATATGTTTTAAGGAAATCGTGTCTTCACGAGTCTCAGATTTTTTAATTCCTTAAAAATGTCGTTGTTCATCACAAATACTCCATTTAATATTTCCAACAATCTTAAAACATATTTAGTTTTATATTTGTGTATGAAATTATTCATGTATCATTGGAAAGCATAAGAGATGAATTACTACTCTTATGAGAGCGATCAAAGCCAAATCATGAAAATGAAAAACAAAGGAGGAAGAGAGTGTTCCGTCATCGACCATCATGCCTAGGTTACTTTGGTTGGCAAACAGGTCGACGGAACTAGACAGAAAGGGAGAGTTACAAGCGTCGACCTTATCGTTGGGCGACAAACAGATCGACAGCAGACCTGGGCAGGATTATTTATTTGAAATTTTGACAATTTTCTTTGTTTCGTGTAGGCAA